TTAAATTATTGTTACATTTATGTGACAGGTAAACAAATAATGGGGGAAATGGACACAAGGCTTGATATATGGCCATTAGACCAAATTTACTAGTTCAAATCTTCCAGACTCTTTACTAATTTTTTGGTCTAATTGATCTCTGAATTACTTGGAGCAAAATGTAAAAATCTACCACTATGCTTATCAACGTACCAATTTCTTTTTTTTTTCCCCAAATTACCAACTTCTTACAAGGCTGTCCACTTTTGTTTACATATTTTAAAGTTATAGTACTGATACATACCCATTCAAAACTGATGCTTCCCTACGTATTTGTATGAATTGTTATGAATCTTCACCCTAATTACTGCTTCTGTCCCGAATAATCCTATGGTTGCAGTTACAGACACAGCTGTACCAGTTTTCCTCCAGCCAGTACTGCCTCTTACACTCAGCTTTTCCTGAAGACCTGTGTTGGAGGTACGCCCCTTACTAACGGCTTATGAGTATATTTTGCCTTTTCTCCCTTAATACAATCTGATAATCTCAGATTTTAAATTTTTTAGGACTTTTAGTTGGTATGTAATAATTATATAAATTTATAAGGCACAATGGGTGTTCATATATTGTGCAATGATTATATCAAACTAATTAATATATCCCTCATTTCACATATAGTACTTTTTTTGGTAGTGAAAACATTTAAAACCTATTCTTTTAGCCGATTTTGACACGTGTAAGCCCTGGTTATTAACTGAAGTTATTCTGCTATGCAATGGATCTCAAGAACTTCCTCCTCCTTTTTCCCCCGCAAGTTTATGCTATTTGATCAATACCAGTGGCTCCTCATTCCCCTGTCCTTCCTCTCCTCGTCCTCTGGGAATACCATGTTATTCCTTCCTTCTATAAGTCCAACTCAGTTAGACGCCACTTGGAAGTGAGGTCACACAGTGTTTTAAAATCTCTGGTTTTTAACCAATGTGATATAGTTAGACTTTTTTCTACCATGTTATATGGTGCTCCTATTTTCACTGATTTTTCCTTACTAATTAATTTTCTTCCTCTACTATTTTAGTAACTATGCATCAAGTTTTTCTCCTTTTGTCTGTCTATTAGTCTGTTTGTCTTTCTTTCCTTTTTTTTTTTTTTTTTTTTTTTTTTTTTTGGCATGTGTCACAAGTCTGGGTGCTCCAGGAAGCAGACACTACATGGAATTATGTGTGTAAAGGATGTTGGGGGAGTGTCACAATGAGAAGGAAAAGAAGGAAGAATCGGGCTGACTGCAATGCAGGTCCCAACTGGGGCTGTGGAATCACACATCTACCGGAAACGGCCAAGCCGTAGCTGCTGAAAGAACAGCATGACCTGGCTTGGAAGCCAAGGCAGATCATCATGAAGTCAGAAACTAGAAGCTATTGGGCGCCCTCCCATCTGGAGTCCTTTGTAGAATGGAGAACTAGGAAGCTAGTACATTTCCATGTCTTCCACAGCCATATCATGTATATTTGCCTTCATTAATAATCTCTATCCTCTTCCTAAATTTTAACATTATAATTTCAATTGTTTCCATCCAATATGTAATTCTCACTCTTGTTATGCCCCCAAATTATCATCATTCATCATCATCACTACTTTATTCAGTTAATGTTTGCTCAGATTTCCATGCATGTTTACTAATTCTTCTTCTACTGTCTTTTTTGAACCCAGGGCCTTGCATAAGCTGACCATATGCTCAGCCACAGCCACTTCCCCAGCCCTGGCTGTCATTTCTGGTTGCACCTTAACACTTCCTTCCATTTTCAGTTTTATTCTGCCTGAAGAATATTATCCTCTAATTCTTTCAATGACAGCATCAGTGTCTCTCAAGTTTGTTTTCTTTTTTTTTTGGTTTAGTTTTTTTCCGGTACTGGGAATCAAACTCTCGACCTTGTGCTTGCCAGGCAGGCGCTGTGCCGCTGAGCTAAATCCTCAGCCCCATGAACACCAGTGTCTCTCAATCTTGGTCTAAAAATGTTTTCATTTTGCCATCACACTTGAGTGATAGTTTAGCAGGAATGAAAAGTTTTAACCAACGTTTTGAACATCTTCCTGAACATAGGATTTTCAAGCTCCTATTAGTACTGCAGAGAAATCTGGTAATGATCTAATTGCCATTGCTTTGTAGATTGCATTGATTACTTAGAAACGTATTTCTAACCTCTGAGGTTCTGCACTTTTACCAAAGTGTGCCTACTGGTGGATTTAGTAGAATTTATTTTGCCTGGGACCCATGTGAATATTGAATCTATGATGTATTTCTCTCATCAACTCTAGAAAATATTGACTTTCCCTCACTTTTTAAATTTTCTTTGTGGAAATTTTACTAGATACATATTAAGTCTTTTTAGTCTATCCCCCATGCATCTTAACATCTTTTTAGTATTTTCTAGCTCTTTAACCCTTTGCAGTGAAGTCTGGACAATTTCTTCAGCTCTAGCTTTATGTATTATCTTCTGTTTTATACAGATGTGCTGTTTCATACATTTTAATATATTTTTCAGCTTACATGCCTATCACTTTTATCATATTTTTCTTTTCTTGAAGTTTTTATACTTTATTCTTAAGAATCCCTAACAGTTCCATTTTCAGAAGTTCTTAGTCATGTCCTGTGACACATGCTCACGGTGGATTTCCTCATGAGTTTTTAATTTTGAGCCCACATTCCTGCTCCATCTGTGGGAATCCAAAGCAAGATCAGGGTGTGTCCTTGCAGGGGGATTTGGGGTTTGCTTCTGCCAGTCTCCCCAGGCTGCCAGTATCTTCAGCCTTAGCCCACTTGAACATTAATGTCAGCTTGAGGATTCCTGGACCACCCTGGTGGTATAAATGAGAACAAACTTCAGCCAAGGTCCAGACTGTGACCACATATTCCCAGGGGTCCTTTTTCCTATCCAGACCCAAGTCAAAGCAGACCAGAGTCTTTGTTGGCTCCTTCAGCTAGTGGGTGGATCCAGTTTAGCTCATTATTTTACTGAACACATAGCCCATAAGTAATCCTAGCTTTAAGCAAGAGCTTCAGGTCCAACCTCTTTGTGAGAAGCAGGGTTACAACTATGTCTCCCTGAGGCTCAGACCCTACCTGTGGCTGTTCCCAAGACTGATAAGCCATCCTGCCAACGTGGCTGCCTTGGCCTGGGATCACGTATTTACCAGTAAAGTTTTCAGCTCATTCTTCTTCCATTTGGGCCCTGGAGATTTCTTTCCTGTTTTGTATCTTGTTCAGTTACGTGTTTAAAAGAGTATTTATTATATCCAGGATTTCTAAGTATTTTGTAGCAGCAGAGTTCCCAAATTATACTAATTCACTGTATCGACAAATTACAGTTTGGTCCTCCTCAGAGATGTTGCTTACTCCTCATTGACCCCATGTTAATAAGTGTACTGCCTCCTTGGGCAACATGTCATCCTCAGCTCCTTCCTATTAAACACCTGGCCTCACCATCTTTCGCTGGAGTGGACCATCTCACCCTGTCTAGGCAGGGCCTTTCACCTCAAGCTCTTATGGGCCAAGGGAAGCCCATGACTTTGCTGCTTTTGAGTCAGGTCCAATCATATGCAGTTGGAAGACGGCAGGTTCTCATAGTATAAAATGTACTTAATGCTGCCTTGGGTAGGGAATTTCCTACTATGGTTTGGATATAGCCCCCAAAGATCTATGAGTTAAAGGTTCAAGCCCCAGAGTGGTGCTATTGGAAGGTGGTGAATCCTCTAGGAGATGGGACCTAGTGGGAGGTCTTCAGGTTATTAGGGTGTGTAACTCTGGCCCTTTCTCCACCCCTTGTGTTTCTTGGCAGATGAAGTGAGTAGTTTTACATATTTTACACATTCCCACCATGATGTGCTACTTTGCCACAGACCTAAAGCTATGGGGCCAATTGCTTATAAGCTGGAAAATTTTGAACCTTCAAAATTGTGAACCAAAACAACCTTCTCTTTGTACAAGTTAGTGATCTCAGGCATTTAGTTGTAGTGACAGAAAGCTGACTAATACAATTTCCTTAGAAGGGCCTGTGGACACAGAGGGGTCTCCCGGAGACTTTCTAACTGCATTCTTCCCAGCATCATCAGAACAAAATCCCATTGTCCCTGAGCAATGTGTTACCCAGGAACTAATAAACAAATGAACTAACAGTTAGCTGAACAGCCATAGCCAGGACAGGTCTCAGTTTGAAAGGAAGTCTCTAATGAGCTGCTGGTCAACGCTTTTGTCAATGATTTAGACATGGAGATCAAAGTGAGGTTATAAACTTGATGCATGAAGAAAAAAAGAAAAGCTTGATGCACGAAACAAAGTTGAAAGGGACAGAGTACACATTCCAGAAACGAGGTTCAAATGGCTTCTACTGATTAAAAGAAACAAGATTAAATTTAATCAGGATTAGGCAAAGCCCTGAAGTTAGATCCAAAATACCAATTGTGAAGTACAAGATTGCTATGCCCTGACTTGGCAGCAATTCATAGACCAAGGACCTGGGGGTTTTAGTGACCATAATTTTAGCTCGGCCCTGATTAGTCCTGCTCAACTCCTACACAAGTCCTCTGGCTAAGGAGCTCCCCCTGGGCCCATCTCCTGTGGGCTCCCATCCTAAATTATCTTGTCTTCTCAGCCTTCCATCTAGCTTTAGCTTTGGCTCTTCCCTCCTTTACACCAACTTAGCCCCATACTGTGATGCACAATTTGACTTCCTGGGCCCTTTTTTCATATTTCTGCTCTATAGACATTTTACTTGCAGTTTCTGCATCTCTGAAAACCAGCTCATGCTGGCAACTTTGGAAGAAAATAAGAATGTCTCCCTGAGGGAAGAAACAGATTACGAGAGGCAGAGTAGGCATCTTCAAACAAAAGAGAGAGAGCAGACAGACAGGTGCTGTGTTGCTCCTGTCAGCATTAGAACTAGAGGGGAGAGAGTCAATGAAGTCAGTTGTCTCTCCAGTATAAAGCACTGTTTCAATTAATATGCACGAGCACTCACTGTACTCACGATAACAGGTGCTTTGGGTTATGCCGAGGAAGGACTTTCCACGTGGCTGCCATGTTGGGAGTTCTCCACCTCCATGGGGAACAGTGCAGAGTGATTGTTGCAATGGATAAGGCAAATGCTGGTTCCCTGATGCCACATCCAAGCCAGGCCAGCTCCCTCAGAAGGGCACTGACAAAACCAAATCCTTTGGACAGCAGAAGAGGTGACAAACTACAAGCTGCCATTCCCAAGAGGTCAGGATGACCTACAAAAACACCTGCAAATGCTTTTCTACCTGTCTGCTTGGCTCCTGGCCCTTTAAACTGGCCCAGCCCACTCGCAGGCTGCACCTGCAGGAGATAAAGCCTGGCTGAAAATAGCCACCGTTCAGAGCAATTTCCCAGAACTTCCTTCCCCTCCTTTGGCTCAGATTCCATCTCACCCTCCTCCAGGCTTCCAGCTCTGACTTTACTTTGGTTATGTGAACCCTGGCTTTCCTGATCCTGTAGACCAGAGAAACTTCCAAACTCGAGGGAGGATCGGATCACCTGGAGGATTTACAGCAGGGGTTTCTGGTCACCTAGTCTGGTGACCTCACGCCTAGGAGAACAGAGACATGAAGACTCTTGGCCCCAAAATGTGTGAGGCAGCAATAGTTCCCCTTAGAGTTGAGCGAAAGCCTGTACCAGGAAGAGGATCAGACTGGACAGGAAAGAACCCCTGGGTGGGCATGTTTCTTCCCAGTGTTCATGGAATCGGGACTGGGCAGAGGGTGGCAGATGGCCACTGCCAGTGGAACCCACTGTCACTCACTCCACAGTGATGGCCACCAAGCAGCCTTGATGTTCTAGAACAGTTTTCATCTAAAATGTCATGTTGCCCAGCCAGGCATAGTGATGCACACCTGTAATCCCAGCACTGTGGGAGGCTGAGGAGGAGGAACACAACTTTGAGCTCAGCCTGGGCAACTTAGTGATTTGGCAAGACTGTGTCTCAAAATAGGTAGATAGATAGATAGACAGATAGATAGATAGATAGATAGTTGACAGCTATAGGTCAGTATGAGGTCCTGGGTTCAATCCCTACTACTGGAAAAAAACAAAAAACAAAAAACGTTGCTCCCAGTAAACCATTCAAATACCCTGCAAATTATTATATTTCAGCGTTCAACCTGTAATTTCAAAAATGCCTCCCTCACAATCCAAAACTCCTGTGTTGGCCCTAATCTCCCAGTGGTGTCTGGGGAAAGGTGCAGCTCGACCCTGACTGGGAAGCAGGTGCATTTGGTCTTCATGGCTTCTGAGACTCTCTCTGGCCTCTGCCTGCCCTCCCATGGCACCCCTGCCACCCGTCCCCAACCTCCTCTGCATTTCCCTCTGGGGTAACGTGGGGACATAAGGAAACGTGTGTCCTCACAAGAGACAGTGCGGAAACAGAGATGAAATGTGATGAAGGAGCTGGGGGCTAAGCTGTGTGTAAGAGAATGTAGGATGAGGAAAGCGGGCTGTCTCTTGGGGCTCCTGGAAGCAGGTGGCTGCTGCCTGCTCTGCCTCTTTGTCACCCTAAGCCTCCCGCCCTGAATAGAGTGGAGGCAACTGAGAGCACAAAGGAGAGATGAGTGGGCCTGAAAGTCCCTCAGTGAGTGGCCAGCACTGGACACTCCGCCCATGGCTGCCCACCGGAGGAGTCACAGACAGGGGCCACGTGACAGGAAGCAGCCCCTTGAAGCAGCCCCAGGGCCACAGGGCACTGGCTGGGGGTCTAATGGTGAATCCTATCTATTTTATTTCATGTCTGTACCAAGGATAACCGGAGCTCAGCCCCCAGAAATCGCAGTGGCTGATACCACAGGAGGTACTCAGCCCACTGTGGGGACCAAGCTTGCCTCTGTCGATGGCTTCCATGTCCTGAAAGCCAGAGCCTCTGGGGTCATGGGTCACATCTCAGAGGCAGAGTGAAACACCATCATGGCTCCTTGCAGGATATGAGCCTGAGCCTGAGCCTGACCCTGTCTCACCCAGCCACAGCCCCCCGGAGGGCACCCCCAGGCCGCCCAGGCTGGAGGCCTCTGTTATGAACAGCTCACTTGCCATGGGCGCCCTTCTCCTCTGCTCCTGGTGACAGCTGTCTTTCTCCTGCTCGGCCTCTGACGTGGCGAGCAGAGGCCTGATCGCTGCCTCCTCGTCCTCATGCCTTGACTCCATGTCCCCAGCGTTCTTATTTCCTCACCTTGCTCTTTGCCACAACACTTCCATGGACAGCACTAATCGTCAGGACGCCCCCTTCTGTGAGCCCAGGACTGCCTGGCTGTGTAGAATCCCCACAGGGATGTTGGGGTGAGCCGAAAGAGGAAGCATACTTGAAAATAATCTCGCTTCTCTTTGTTCTTCTTTCTGCCGGCAAGTCAGTAAATTCTGCCATTGTCCAGCCTTCCAAAAAGAGTGTGTGCAGGCAGCCTTCAGAAGGTGTTGGGAGCACCCTGCCTTTCCCTCAGTCCTGCCTCTGGCTTCTCTATGTCCTGAAATTACTTCCTTTAAATTCCTTTAAGTTAAGTAATTAATTGCAGTTATAAATGAGTTCTTTTAATTTTTTCTCTTAGGATGTACATAAGCTTTGGAAGGCTGTGAGTCAGAGAGAATGCACTTATGCTGAGACGGTACACGGACAGGGAGAAGAAGAACTCTAGAGTCCCTAGGAATGAGGGAATTGGGAAACCGGAAGAGAGGCCCCAAAGGCAGACCAGACAATAATTCTTCCCTCAGAGTGGAAATATTTGGGAGGGGGCCCAAAGCAAACTTTTCCTCTCTAGGAGTTTTGTCTAAGTCAAGTGGGTCTGAGACAAGTCTCACGTCGGCAAAAGTGGGGGACACAGGTGCAGAATATTGGGGTGAGTTCAGACAGTGAAGACAAAGGTTTCTTGGTCCAGGAACTGTGCAGTACCAAGGACGCGGAGAAAGGTAAGACCCAGCCCCACCCACAAGGAGCCCCCTGTCGCTGGGAGACACACGAGACCATCCAAAGTCGCTGGTGGTTTGAAAGTGCCATGACTGAGCGACACTCGACACTCTGGCTATGGTGCCAGGGACCCAAGGGCAGATGTATGTCTGGTGTGGCCCGGGAAGGGAGAAGGATAGGACACATGGGCTGGCTGTGAGGCACAGGTGACAAGCACAGCAACAAAGGGAAAGGAAGGAGCACACACAAGCAAAGGCCCATGAGATTCAGTGCTCTGTGTGGCCAGAACACTGGTCCCTAAGGTGATGTGCTGGGCCAATAGCTAAATCTTGGAAGTGGCCTATGTGCCCATCAGTAAATGAATGGATAAAGAAAATGTGGTATTTATACATAGTGGAGTACTAGACTGCCATAAAGAAGGATATACAAGAGTCATTTGTAGGAAAATGGATGCACCTTCAGACCATAATGTGAAACAAGTCAGACTCACCAGCTTAAATATTATAGTTTTTCTTATGAGAAACCCAAAATATAAAGATAGATAATAGGAAATAGGGAGATAGATGTTTTACAAATAGGAAAGGGACCAAGAGAGGGAGGGTGGGAGGAGGGAGGAGAGGGAAAAGGAAGAAAAAAAGAATTAAGCCGGGTGTGGTTGTGCATGCCCGTAATCCCAGCACTTGAGAGGCTGAGGCAGGAAGATCTCTGCAAGTTTGAGACCAACCTGGGCTACAAAGTGAGCTTATGGCCACCCTAAACTGCATAGCAAGACCTTGTCTCAAAAAGATAATTAATAAATAAATAAATAAATAAATAAATGGGAAAAAAATTAGGGTGTGTTCTGTGCATGTAGCAACTCCCACGAGGAATGTGATCATTATGTTCTGTAAGAATGTATTAATAAAAAATAAAAATTGAAAAAAATAAAGAAGGTGAAGTGCTGGTGATGAGGCTGCCAGGGTTTCGGGCAGTCACCCTGAAGACCAGCTGGAGAGCTCTGGCAAGGGCCGCGGGGCTGTATGTATCACTCCGCAGATGGTGGCGTCCAGGGGCTGGTGGGAGCAGATGGAAATAGATCTGGGGTGAAGGACTGACCCAAAGCAGTGCAGAGGGCTTGAGAGGTGTCATCCATGAGCCCAGAGACCCATGAAGAGGCAGAAATGAGCAAAGATGGAGACGGGGCACGGGTTTCCAGCAGGACCCTGCTGGGTCATGAACCGCTCTCTGAGAAGGGCAATGTGGAGCTGTTGGGCGGAGCTCAGGCCAGAAGCCGGGATGGAAGTAAACCTCACATCGCTGGCCCCCAGTTGGAAAGCCCTTTAATTACCTGCAAAGCACGGTAGAGATCACGTGGCTTCAGTGGAGTCAGATGAAATTCCCAGGCCTCATATGAAATACAGATTGATGGGGGATGCTGGGGACAGAACCCAGGCCTTTCTCATGCTAGACATCCATTCTACCACTGAGCTACACCTTCAGCCCTGTTTTATTTCTACTTTTGAGACAAGGTCTTACTAAATTGCCCAGGCCAGCAATCTTCCTGTGTCAGCCTCCCAAGTAGCCGGGATTATAGGTGTGCACCACCACACTCTACTGAAATACATATCTTTAAACACTCATCAAAGAGGATTACTTAGCTCTCATCTCAGGAGAAATGCAAGGAACAAGACAACCCCATAGGACCAGAGAGTCGCACCTGCCCTCCTCACCCCAGCCTTTCAGATGTAGGGATAACCGTGGGCAGAAACCCCAAGCACCACTCAAGCCAGGTGCCTCACTTCTACTAGAGAAAGTGCGGCCGGGCATCTGGGCTCAGAGAGGGGCACAGGCTGACTTCCACCCTGCACCATGGACCTAGCTGAGGCCTGGGCTTTCCATCTCGAATCCTGGAGTTCCCAGGAGACCAAGGGTAGAGAGCGTGCTCGGCTTGGGCTTCATGGTGACCGTCAGAGTCTCTGCCCGCAGCTAATGACCACTCCGGGATCCTCAGTGTTTATCCAGCCAGCCCGGGGTCAGCAGTGGCTCCTGATTGCTGGGTACGTTGCTGAGATGGGGGAGAAGCCCTTGCAGACAGTGGTTCCAGACAGCTTGGCTCGGAAACACAAACAAACAGAAAATAGTCACTCCCCTTCCAACCTGCTGGGCACTAGGAAGGCGGCTGGGTGGGGATCGGGGGAGGATTTCAAACAAGGGCAACATTTACTAGGCTCCTCCAACCTGTGCTAGGATAGTTATTATTGCAAATAGCTGTTTTGGCTGCTACAAGTGTGTAATTTTCACCTCTGAAAGAACATGTTCTCAGAGCCCCTGGTAGCTTATTTTGCCAATGCGAAGAGGAAAAGTCAGAGACAAGATGGGCAAGGTCTCACCCCAGCTCTTGGTGCACTGGAGGGTTCCAGGCTCTGCAAAATCAGGCTGTAAGTTTAGAACAAGGAGGACCCTTCTGAGAGATTAGGGCTTTGTTCTTCTCACTACCCTTTCCATAAAATGGTTATTGTGTCTCCAGGCAGCTTCCATGCAGCATCTTTGAAACTCTGACCTCTGTGAATCCTCTGTGAATTCCTGGTCCCTCAGAGGCACTGGAAACTGTGTTAGCTAGCTTTCTGTTACTATAACAAAATACCCAAAGCAGTCACCCTATAAAGATGGAAGGCTATTTTGGCTCATGGTTTTAGGGGTTTCAGTCCATGGTCAGTTGCTCCTGGCAAGGATAACACGAGGAAAAAAACAGCTCACCTCATGGTCAGGATGCGAAAAAGAGTGACGGGACTGGGCATGCTGACACACACTGTAATCCCAGCACTCTAGGAAGCTGAGGCAGGAGACCTCAATTCAAGCCTACTGTAGGTAATTTAGCGACTCAGTGAGACCTACAGAATGAAAAATGAAAGGCAGGTCGGGATGTAGCTCAGTGGAAAGGGTGAGGGTTTGATTCCCAGAAGGCAGCAGGGGAGAGAAGCTGCTTTATCCCACTATGAAGCCACCTCTACTGTGGAAGGCCCAGCCCTTCCAGCCTTCCATCCGGGGCAGGCCAGCCCAGCTGTGGCTGATCAGCTTCAGCACTTTCCCTGTGACTGGGTCCAGCCCAACGCTGCCGACAGCAGAGCTCTGAGACAAACCTCTTCTCACGCAGGGACGAGGGGCAGGGATGCTCTTCCGTCTTCTGGATCCCCAGATTGCTGAGGGCTTCAGTGGGTGGCTATGAAACTCCTGAAACAAAAGCAGTCTGATTCATTTTCACTGAAGAGAAATTAATGCAAAATCATAACGTGCTTTGTGGGGGCCGAGAGGAAGGAAAGCTGTCTCAGAATTGGCAAGTTTATATAATTTATTCATTTGTCAGCACCCACCGGCTGCCACATACTGTACAATGTTCTAGAGCTGCACACAGGAACAAGACAGGCCAAGGTGCAGTTTAGGAGGCAGATGATGGTGACAGAATGTGTTAAGAGGGGTGACAGAGGTGATAAGACAGGGGACATGGAATGTGAAACACTGCCAGAGGATGTCAGGAAGAGGCTTGGGAAAGCTGGGAGGAATTTAGCAGGATCTAAGAGCAGTAAATGTAAAGCAATGCCTTAATCCATTTTCTGTTGCTATAATAGAAAGCTTGAGATTGGGTAATTCTTAAAGAAAAGAGGTTTGCTAGGGTCATGGCTCTGGAAGTCCAAGAATGTGGCACCAGATCTGCTAGGCCTCTGTGAGAGGCCCATGGTGAAAGGGCAGGAGTAAAGATGCAGAAAAGGAGCCGGTGTGGGGAGTGGGGAAGAGAGAAAGAGGGCACCTGGCCGGGTTCTTAGCAACTCACTCCTGGTAACCAGCCCTCTTGCTGTGCCACACCCCCCGCCTCAGAGAAAGAGCTCACTCCCTGGAGAAGAGCATTAGTCTATCTTAAGGACCTAGTCATCTCTTCTAGGCCCCAACACCGGCTGGGGTATGACTCAGTGGTCGAGCACTTACTTAGCATGCAGGAGGTCCTGGATTCCAGACCCAGTGCCAAAAAAATAAAAATTGAGAAAAGACCAAGCAGGGGCTGCATAGAGAGAGGCTGCAGCGAGGATGCACAGGTGGGCACAGCCCTGGTAAAGGTTGATTTCCAACCTGCCTGGCTGGCATCAAGGGCAAGTCCGCCCTGATCTGGTACCTGCCCCTCCACTGAGATCCTGCTGAGGAGGCGGGGTAGGCATGGACCCCCTACCACCACCCAAAGCAGGGGCTACAGAGCTGTGAGAGAGTGGCATCGTCAGTAATCCACAACACAGGCTGCATCCTTACCCTGCATGCCTAGCTAAAGCAAACTGTGGAGAGCCTGTGCTCTGCCTGGCCCAGGACGAGGCCTGTTCCTGGCATCATCCTATTGAAATTTCTTCTTCATTGCACACCGGGTCTGTGTGCATATGTTTAATAAGCCCCAATCCAGGTATGTGGCCTTGGAAGTCACACACATCATTCTCTGCAGCATGCTAAAAATAACCAACCCAACTGCTGCTGTCATCTCACCTGCCCAGGCAGAAGTTAGCGGGGTGGGCCTCACCAGAGGCAGGAGTTGGCAGAGGTATTTTGACTAAGTACCTGCTGGTTTCCAACCACATCAGGAGGCCACATTGTGCAACACAGAAGCATTCAGAGAACCCAAGAGGAGGGGAGCACAAGTGCTCCCTGCGCAGCCACTCCACCAGGCCGTGGCTCAGTTATTCACCGTCTCCCTGTTTAAAGAGGAAACTGGTGCCTGGAGCAGTGGCCACACCTGTAATCCCAGCACTCTGGGGGGCTGAGGCAGGAGGATCAAAAGCTCCAGCTCAGCCTGGACAACTTAGCAACTTAGTTGAGACCCTGTCTCAAAATAAAGTGTAGAAAGTGACTGGGACAGGGGGAGGAAACTAAGGCTCTCACACCAGCAGTTAAGCAGGGTGAACATAAACACTACAGGTCCACACCTGCTTGTGCATACATGTACTCTCCCTCTCCTCCCTAGAGACGTCACCCTCCTGCAGCCACACCAAGGGCTCAAGCTGGTCCTTCTACCATGGTTGTCAGGCTGCAGAGTTTGGAGGTGACCTTTCCCAGGCTGTCATCCTTCCCTTTATCACCACTCCTCCAGTTTGGAGTGGTCAGCAACAGCACATGCAGGTCATTTCCAGGGCAGATGTTCCAAAATTTCTGAACAGTCTTTGATTTTTTTGAGGTTTTTTTCTTTTTCTTAAAGGCTGGGTTTTTGGCTCCATTGTACGACACTTGCCTAGCATGCATGAGGTCCTTGGTTAGACACCATCATCACTACCACCAAAAAAAGTGTGGAGGCAGAATCAGCTAAACATGTGTGAATTCCTGAACAAGCAGAAGCTGTATGTGTTTTCCTCCTAGAAAGGCCCTCACTGCATAACATAAAGTGAATATGTGTGGGGGCTGGGGATTTAGCTTAGCGGCACAGCGCCTGCCTGGCAAGCGTGAGGTCATGAGTTCGATTCCTGGTACTGGAAAAAAAAAAAACAAAAAAAGAGAATATGTGGCAGAAGAAAATAGAAGAACCAGGCCACAAATAAAATCTTTCCAAGCTTTAAGTGTAAAAGTTTATAATACCTTATCCCACATGCAAATACCCCTAGGTAACCTAGAACTTGGAGTCTTCTGACAGGAACATGATGTCATTGTACTTCTGCTTTGTATTATTCACTTTCCTGTCACTGAGGCACAAAACCTGACACCACAATTTAAAGAAGGAGAGGTATAATTTGACGTACGGCTTAAGGGGAACTCAGTCCATAGTCACCAAGCTCCAAGACAGAACATCACAGTTGGAAGAGCATGGCAGAGCAAAGATGCTTCGTCCACGATGGTTGGGAACAGGACAGGGGAACACTGCCACAGCGGAAGAGATGAGGGACTAGCTATAGTACCCAAGGTCACAGAAGAGTGCTTTCTTAATCTGCTAGACATTTCTTAATCCATTCAGATTCACATGTCACAATTAACAGTCACAATCTACCCCTTGTCAACTTGAGAACCAGACACATCTCCTGAAATCATACATAAGCTCCAAATAAATACAATAGCAAGTCCAGATTCTGCCTAACATGACACAACTATCCTGTATACAACCAGAAATGCACTAATTTCTTCCCCCAAAGTCTTGATAGTTCCAGCATTTTTCAAAAGCCCAAGTCCAAGTCTCTTCTAAGATTCAAGGCAAACTCTTAGCTACAAAACTCTGTAAAAATTAAAAACAAGCTACATAATCCCAAGGCACGGTGGCACAACGTAAACATTCCCACTCCAAAAGGAAGGGATAGGGGATAGAAAAGAATCAGATCAAAACACAACTAAAATCCAGCAGGACAAACATTAAATGCTATAACTCTATTTCCTGCATCCATGGAAAAAGGAGATAAGACATAAATTCCAGAGGGCTCAGGTATCCTCACCCCTCTGGCCTTACTGATTGCAGCCCACCTGGCCTCTCTCTTAAGCTGATTCCAGAGGAGGCCTGCAGCTGTCCTCAGTAGACCTTCCACATTCCTAGTATCTCTGACTTCCTAGGTTCTCCATGCATCTTCAGCTTCATTCTCACAACTTTATATACTGTCCTCTCTAGGGTTCTCTGCCTGACCTTCCAGGCCTTCCTTTAAATTTTGGGTGGAATCCTTTCTGACCCGATAACTCTTGCATTCTGCATGCTGGAAAAACCAACATCATGTGGATGACTACAAGCACTTTGGTCAGTGGAAGTAGTAGCCAGGCCCTCTTAGATTATAGTTTCAGAGGACTGTCAGTCCCTGGATGGCTAAGCATGGTGAAATGAATCCCAGGAAACCAATTCTCCAGGAAGCCCTTCTTTAGCAGGGGTCCAAGGTGCTCTCTTCTCAAATGAAAAGTTGACACTATTACACCCTTCAGCCTGAAATAGGTAGGGCTTCTTAAGATGCCCTCAAGGCATCATTCCTATTGTCCCTGTACAAAGTACTTGACTTCTTTTTAATGGCAAGCATACCTTACTTTTTTTGTTGCTAAGACAAAATACCTGACACCCAAAGTTAAAGGAGGAAATATTTATGTTAGCTCACAATTTGTTGAGGTTTCAGTCCATAGTTGGCTTGTTTCACGGCAGGGTAGCCTGGCAGAAGGGCCTTGCTGAGGCAAAACAGTCCATGGCAGGGCAGGCATGAAGTAGCAAAGATGCCGTGTTTTTGTCCCTTTATATAGGATCCAGGCTATAAGGCTATTGATTGGTGCCACCCATAATCAAAGTGAGGCTTCTTTCCCTCTTCAGTAAATCCATTCACTTACACCAAGAACTATCCTAATCCAACAAGGGGACTGATCCAAATATCACACACCTTTAATCCAATTCACACACCCTATATCCAGGCATCTCCAAAAAGTTCCACATATGAGCTGAGCTCATGAGGCTTTAGCAGGACATCTGGATACAAGCCATAACAGTTCCCAACTTCACACATGGTTCCTTCTGGGCCAAAATTTACATTTTTCAAAATTTTCTGTTCTGCTTTCTGTCCCTGATTCTCACCATAAATTTGGCTCAGGGGCTGGGGATTTAGCTCAGCTGCACAGCACTTGCCTGGCAAGTGCAAGGTCATGAGTTTGATTCCCAGTACTGGGGGTGGGGGGGGAAATTGGCTGAAAGCAGCCAGTAGTAGTCATACCACAGCCTGAATGCTGGCTACCTTGAAATTGCCTTCACCATATCAATTAACCCATACCCCTTAAACTCAGCCTCCTGCAAGATCTCAAGACATGTGCAAAATGTAGGGGAAAAAAAATGAGTGTAACATACACGTCATCTAGTCCAACTCCTTGAAAAATCCTCATTCCCAGCTGAAATCTCTTGAGCTTGGCCTTTATTGTCCACATTCTTATCACCATTTTAGTCTTCTAATCTAAGTCCAGAATCACCCATCAAGCTTTGCCGACAGAATTTTAGAGCTTCTCTAGCTCACATCTCCAAACCTTTCCAAACTCCTTCTGTAAACTAGCTCCAAAGCTTTCTGAACTACATGGTCAAGTACAGTCACAAAGACCCCACTTATCTGGTACCACTTTTCTGTACTCATCAGCTTTCCTGTCACTGAGACAAACCAGACACCCACAGCTTAAAAGAGGAAAGGTTAGGGGCTGGGGATTTAGCTCAGCGGCAAAGCGCCTGCCTGGCAAGCGCAAGGTCATGAGTTCGGTTCCCAGTACCAGAGAAAAACCAAAAAAAAAGAAAAAAGAGGAAAGGTTAATCTGCCTTACAGTTTGAGGGGGATTCAGTCCACAGTCATATGGCTCCCAGGCAGAAACAAGGTGGAAGGGCATGACAAAGCAAAGATGCTTAGCTCATGGCATCTGGGAAGCAGAGCAAGAGCACCAGAGGGAGGGGGAAGGACCAGATATAGTGCCCAAGGTCACACTTTCATGTGATGGCACATGAGAGAGGAGCAGGGAGGAGCTCAGGGGTCCCTCTGAGAAGGGGCAAATAGCAGGAGGGAGTTGGGACAGGAGGCTTTTCAGAGGCAGGAGCTTAAACTTCGGAGTTAAATTCATTTTTTCCCTAAACCTGTTTCCTTTTCTGTAAAATGGCCATGATAATACATAACCAGTAAAGTTATTAAGAGAATTAGCTTTATGCAAAATTCTTTACTTATATGATCTTATACTGTTATCATTTTTATATGTTTTCATTTTTCTCCCCCCCCCACACACACAGGTGAAGTGATTACGGCATAATTATTAAGTAACTTGCCCAAAGCCACATAGCCAGTAAACAACAGCAGAGCCAGGAGTCAACCCCCAATTGCTCTCCCCACCACCCCTGCTTTACCACCTTGTAACACTGCCTCACGCCTCACCTCAGACAGTGTGGTTTGCGGTGGCACCACATTCTGGCCTCAGAAATCAAGGTACCTACCTCAAGGAAGGAATGAGACACCTCCTGACTTAATCATCCCTAGGACAGACACCCTCTGTCTCCCACCTTCTACCCTGACTCCATAATGGATAGGTGGGTCAGCACCTTGCCACCTGAGTTGCTGTTGTGATGCTGCCAGTGGGTGCCCATGCCCTAGAAGGCAGTGGACGCAGGTTCCCTGACACTAGCAGTCCTCTGGCACCTTCAGATCTGTGTCCTCAGGGCCTTGGGGCAGGAACCCTGTCCTCAGTTAAGTACCTCTGTGATGTGTGGGGACATGGGCTTGGCAAACAACTTGAGTCAGCACATGCCTCACAATCCCCCAGCCTCCTCAGCTCCATGGATTCTGCCCTCATCAAATGCAGCCACTGATCTCTGCCTGAGCTTCAGACCCTGCTCAACTCTGCCTTCACCGGGGACCCCCAAAACTCAGGCAACTAGAGGGAGGTAGAGGGACAAGCAACACAAAAATTTCTAACATTTGTGTGAATTTGGCCTACTTAGCTTTAATCACAAGTTGTAGGTTTGATAGAAAATACCTTCAACAGCAATGCACAATAAATATCATTGTTTTCTTACAATTGATATTGATTTCACCTACACCCAATGATCAAGACATCTTCTCTTCTGTGTAGCTCTTGTCACATTATTTACCTTCAATTCAGCTACTTTTCAATCCGTTTACTGATTTCTTTCCTTTCAAGCCCACAAAAAAAGCACAAGAATTTTTTAATCATTTTTCAATCTTTTTAGAATCGTTTTTATCTTAAATATATTTTTTCTGTGATAGAAATGATACATTGCTAAAAAGTCATATGATATAAAAATATCATAGTAAACATCAGCATCAACTCATAATTCCTTTCCCCAAATTTGCCACTTCAATAAGTTTGCTCATAGTCTTCCGGAGCCTTCCTGAATTTTAATACATATATAAATACAAAGGTAACCGACATGAAATTGGTCACCCAAATACACTGTCTGAAACTTGCTTTTTTTCTTTGATATTCCATCAGAGGACAACTGTCCATAGCCACACACAGATGTAGCCATAATTTTTAAATGACTTCTTAGTATTCTGTTGAATAAATAAGCCATTTAAAAAACTCAACACCGTGTTAATAGATATTTAAGCTATTTTTATGTTTGCTATTCTAAACAAGACAAAAACAGACATTCTTGTCCGATTAGTTTCTTAAGATAAATTCCCAGAAGTGGAGAAGCTGGGCCAAAGGTTGCATATTTTACATTTGGGTGTCTATTTTTAGGCCACCTTCTGAGAGGAGGCTTGGTAAAAAAAAGTCTTATGTAAAGAAGCAACTTTCTTCTGTGGGTACCTGGCCCTCAGGGGCTGGGGTTATGGTGAAGGATTACACTTGACTCTCCATGCCAGTCATGCCACTTTGTCCTGGAACAGCACATCTTTCACACGTTCTTGTGACTCGCCATATCCCAAAGCCAAGCAAACCCTTGAATTATGACAACTTTTAAATTCCATGGGTTTCCCCTTTCAATTTCTAAAAGCCTCTTTACTTAGATGGTTCTAAGATGTCCTATAAATTTCCAGCTTACATGATATACATGTCATCTGAAAATAGTGGAAAAAATAACTGGAGAAAGTATATGGCACCCACAGAGATTATGTTCCAGAACCAATGTGGGAATAGCTTGACAGAGTGAATTAGAGCAAAAGAAAAACTCTCTAAGACCCTAGAGAATTAAGTAACTCTCTAGGGGCACTTAATTTTTATCTTCCTACAAAGCTCATTTTTAAACCTGGCTTAATTCTTATCTCAGCTTCCAAAAAAAAAAAAGCTCAATTCTGAACCTGGCATTCAAGATTCTATATAAGCCAGCTCCACCATAAAATATAAAGTCCTCTGCTTCCTAAATAAACTCTCTCCAGTGAGATAGAAGTTGTTGCCTCTCAAACATGGTACGGTTTTCTGATTTATGTCTTTGTCATTAAATAGCTGTAATCCCTTGTTGATTATTATATGCCAAGCACCAAACTAAGAGCTTTAGGTAGACATTTTAGGTAATTCTGACAAAAATCCAGTGAGGTAGATACTATTTCTCCCCGTCTTACATATCAAAAAATGGAACTCATAAATGTCAGGCGACTTATTCAAAACCACAGGGCTGTTCAAAGTTGAGCCACCATTGGAAGCTGTGTCATCCTACCTAACCCAGCCTTTCTGTGTTCTAGCTCTGTCCTGCCTTGCCTGATACCCCTACGCACTCCAGCTCCCAACAACCCAAATCCTCCAAGGGCTTGAGATGCAGCTCAGCGGGAGAGCACTTACTTTGCAGACTTGAAGCCCTGGGTTTGATTGCCAGTACTGCATTACTTAATTGACGTGAAATCCAAACACCATCTCTCTGACATGCCCCTACTTTCCACCAAATGGAAATCCTTTATTTATTTATTTTTTCTTTCTTTTGTCCTTTTGAGACAGGGTCTCACTATGCAGTTCAGGCTGGCCTTGAGCTCACTTATGTAGCCCAGGCTGGCCTCAAATTCACAACAATCTTCCTGCCTCAGCCTCCCCAGTGCTGGAATTACAGGCAGGCACCACTACATGTGGCCCTTTCCTCATTCTGAATCTGGTCATCCGAACTCCGAAGAGCTCTGCTCCCTTGTCACCAGCTTGTCAACACTCTGCCCATTTAATTCCTTCTGCTACTCAGCCTTCCATTGGTGCCTCCCATGGGCCAGGCCAAGCCCTACCAAGTGACAAGCACATGGCCTCATACTCAGAGACCTGAGGCCAGATGTGTCTTCCAACTAGACTGCGAGCTCCTTCACGGCAGGGGATGGGCAGAGAGACCTACTGTGTCCTCCATAGCCCCAGAGAGCTGCCCCAGGTACTCTGATTAAAGGGTTGCCTTGTGTGAGGGAGGACCAGCGCCACAGATCTTACCTTTATCCTGTGTGCTGCCTCATCTTGAAATTCCTTCCTTACTACTCCAAAGAGTTTATCTACTCACCAGAAGGCTGCTCTGGCCAGGTCATTTATCTCTGTGTTCTGTCTTCTTGCAAGAAGGACAAGCTGCCCAGCAGATGCTGGAAAACCCCACCTCTGCTCTCAGTGTGAGCTCCTAGGCCAGAATTTATCTTCTCTTCCACACAGCCCAGGTGTGGTGGTGCACACGCGTAATCCCAGTGCTCAGGAGGCTAAGCCAGGAAGATTGTCCGGCGTTTGAGGCCAGCCTGGGCTACATAGCAAGACCCTGTCTCAATATACCAAACAGCTAGGTGGATGGCCAGGATCCACCTCGGGGTGTAGAAAGCAACTGCACCTAGAGCCCTGGGCCACGAAACAACAGGAACTGCCCTAGGGGAAGAGCGTCAGGAGCAGATAGAAAACCAAACTCTGATTATATCCCACCATTCGTCCTTCAGCTTGCTCCTCTGCTTCCAGTTGCCTCCATCACACACATGCACACATGCGCACCCACGCACGCATGCAAGCACGCACGCACGCACGCATACCCTCCTTCCTTGCTCTCCAGACATGAAAACCCATGGGAGGCACAGAGGAGTGAGAAAAAGCCAAAGAAACTACCTTCTGAGGAAGGAACTGGAGCCAGTGGTGCAATTGGAAAGTATCAGGCAGGACTAACTCCTCTGCCACCCGTTACCAGCGCCTAAACATTCTTTTTAGGGTTGTTGTCAGATGGCCCAAAAGCCTGACTTTGAGAAGCAAATACTGGGCAGATAAGACTAGCTTTGTGGCCCTTAGGAGGGTCCTACACTTGGTGTAATGTTGTGCTGTCACCATCTTGAGGTCTGTAATCATTTTTAAATAAGGGACCTGCATTTTCATTCTGTACTGTGCTGTGCAAATTATGTAGCTGACTCCTGGGGCCCCAGAGAATCCAGTTCCCTGGAACAAGCTGAGGACAGACCAGGATCTCAGATGAGGCCAAGATGGCTGGGGTGGCAAGGGCTGCCAGGCCCATCATGAGAGAGGGGATGAACTGCGCTGGCCACACTCAGACCCATGAGCATGAGACTGCATAGCCAGTGGCAGCCAGGGAGCTGCCTGAGGCCAGGCTGCACGGTTTCTTGCTAGCCTTTTCCAAGTCACTGAAGCCAGGGAGCACAGAGCAGAGAGCTGTGAGTCACACTGTCCTGGGTCCCTGTCAGGAGTGTCTGCTCCCCCAGCTCTGAGTGTGAACAGGAGCAGACAAAGGCTCACAGCCACATGCTCGGGGCTCTGCCCACTCACCACACCCTGGCTGAGCCTCCAGCTACAAACCCCTCCACAACACTGGAGCCATAGCCAGGGCAATTCCAAGGGAATTGCTGCTTGGTGCTGGGTGCTGGGTGCTGGGTGCCTCCAGCCACAGGAAACTGGGACTTCAGTTCACAGGGCTGAGCCCACCTCAGAGAGTACTCACTGGAGAAGCTGTGAAAGAGCAGAGAAGCCCCGCCACTCCTCGGGAGAAGCCGGCCCGAGGGAGACCTTTCTTGAAGCTCTGGCTGATCATGGCCTTTTCATCTCAGTGTCAAGCCCAGAGCCCAACCCAAAGGAAGCTGAAAGGAAAGAGAAAGAAGGGCAGGAAGGATGTCTCAGGCCTCACTATTCGGAATGGCCCTCTGGGTGACCCACCTGTCTTCTAAACCTGTCAAGATTCCACCAATATTATTTCATTCCTTAAAGAGCTTGGGCCTTGAGACACCCAATGAAACACACATCTCCCGGTGAATGGTGACAGTATGACCTTACACGGGGTGGGTGCCTAGAGAAGCTGGAGAAGGCCAGGGGGAGGTAGGGCTGGAGAGGGCAAGACGCAGGTGGGATGACAGTGATGAGAAACAACACACACACCCCAGCCATGGGCAGAGCAGAGAGAGGGCAGGGCAGCCACGGAGCATCTTAGGGCTGCCAGGTGGCATCTTGGGACTCCAAACAGCCACTGAGCGGCTGCTTGCTGAGTTCTGCTTCCCCTAAGCCCCTTCTGGTCCCTTGTTCCTGCTGTCCTGAGCCCTGAGTCCTCCTCACCTCCTGTGCTATCACAGAGGATGGCCCCCTCGAGGAGAAGGGGACAAGCGTGCCTCCCAGCACCCTGCATTCCTCCCAGCACCACCAGCCCTGGACAGGATCCGAGAAGGAGGCTGGAGTGGGCAGGCACTTACTGGAAACCCAATCCCATCCACAGAATGTGATCTCATTAAGAGAGCTCGCTGGAGAGAGGATTAGGGGTCACAGCGAGCACCCATCATG